CATCCCCCACAGTGCCAGGTTCGCAGGTAAGTCCCATCTCCGTTTTAGACACTTTCCCTCTCTCCTCTCTCCAGTCACACCTTAGAACCCTCCAGAATGAAAGTTGGCGCCGAACTCTCGCAATAAGTAGGCAAAAAATCACGAAACCGGAAGCCGGAAACCGTTCGGAGAAATAAAGATCGGCACTATCTCTCCGAACGTTCGGAGATATAGTCACTTCGAAAAGAAAAACCAACTAGATCTAGATCTAAGTCTAGATCTAGGAACTTAGACTCTAGATAGATCTAGATAGATCTATATAAATGTGTGTTGCGTTGAAATCGTGCTGTAAAAATATTTAAGCTACCTAGCTCCTTCTGTTGATAGCTTTTGATGGCCGAAATGACAGCGTGTCTGCGTTAGAAGAAGTATTATATTTTGAGTGTGGGTTCGAATCCCGGTCCCGAAAGTTTTGTTTTGTTTTGTTTTGTTTTTTTCTTCTTCTCTCTCCTCCCCCTACTGACCAACAATTTTCCCCCATAATTGTATGTTTTGACTTCAAAGATTTCCACTCATGGTTTTGTGTAAAAGCAAAGAAACATATAGATCTAGAATCTAGATCTAGTCATAATTATAGATCTACTTATATTTTATTTGAAGTATAGATCTAGCCTACTTTTCCTTTTAGGCCTACCAATTTAGACCTGGTTAAAGTTATTACATTGATGCTCAACCCACCATCCTTTTGAGGCGTTTTCTTCAGTCTTCCACTTCCAGCCTAATCAGGTACGTTTGCTGGTGATGAATTTACAGTTGAGAAAGTTTCTATGGCTGTAAGACGTTAATATCCAGAAATGGACTAGAGGTTGCACTTTTAAGAGAATCTCTTTGGATTAAAACACAATGTTAGAATGTTATAAAACACCTTCCTTAATAATAGGAGCAGCGACACGGCCACTACATGTAATACAAACTTCTTTGCCAACTCGAACACGGCCGCCAAACAAACGCGAACTCGAATGTTTCCGTGTCACGTGACCTCGTACGGTCTCTAGTCTACAGAACTCTACACTAAGTGTAAAATTCTGTGCTCTAGTCTTAAAGGGAAATAGCTCTATGGTAAAAACCGAGACCAAGGAGTGTTATACTAAACCCTCTCTGGTTATACCAGAGACAGTAAATTATGGGTGAAGCTACAGCGAGCATGTAGCACATCTCTGTGACAGAGAAAGGAAGTCCGTGGCAAAAACCAAGACCGTTGTCAGTCTTGGGTAAAAATTCATAAAACGAAGACATTGTTGATTTTGGAAGACTCTATATTATTATAACCAAGGACCTTACAACAAATGGACCCTCTCTCTCTCTCTCTCTCTCTCTCTCTCTCTCTCTCTCTCTCTCTCTCTCTCTCTCTCTCTCTCTCTCTCTCTCTCTCTCTCTCTCTCTCTTCACGGCACCGCGCTCAGCACGCCCAGTGGAACAAACAAAATGGCGCCTGTTATTATCTTATTAGCCTTTCATTATAAGACCATTAAGACCCCTGCGCCCGAAGCAAATTTTGTACCACCCATTGAGAAATTTATGGCGGGGAAGTGATCGTATATATGAGTGTGAATGAATGATCTATGAATTTATTTTTTTTTGTTCTGTAAAACATCATCTAAATTGCGTGAACCTCAGACTTCAGAGTGGGATCAAAGGGGTTTTTGGTAATTTTTTTTTTTGGTTGGGTTTGGGGGGGGGGGGGGGGTTCGTTTCTTTCTTTCTTTTTTTTATAAACAAAGGAATCTTAAGTGGACCAGGATCATAAATGATGGGATCTCAGATGGAGACAACATATGGTAGTATTAAAGAAGACCCAAACTCGTTCCACCTCCACGTGCTCGTCTTGAGAAGTATTTACCGTACGCTGTTGCTAAGCAGGTACTGATTTTATTTTAAAAATTGGAGTCGCTATGACATCTACATTTATTTTTTACATCAGTAATGGTAATGCGATAAATGGGTTTTAAAACAAAGTAAGTCTACTGATTTGCCTAATCTCAAGGACCTCAGAATAAAGCCTTCTTTCCCATCTAGATTTCAGTGTGAGAGTCGGGTAGCGGGCACCGCAGGTTGACCATGGTTCCGCAGCGATAGAGGGCTTCTCTCAGGCGTGCGTTGCCGCCCACAGAGCAGCCTCCATTTTACGGTGTAAAAATTAACTTCCTTGATTATAGCTTAGGCCAAGTAGCTCAAGATACTTCCAGATCCCTCAGAGCAACACATAGCCTAGGCCAACATAGCCTAAAAATAACTCTGTACCCAACAAGATGACAAGCCAGTCTTTTTTCCCCTTTGTTAAAAAAACAAAACAACTGCGAACAAATTCTTCTTCGCTGAAATAATATATATATATATATATATATATATATATATATATATATATATATATATATATATATATATATATATATAAACTTATATATACATATAAACTTAGAACTGATCCTGGATCCGAAGGGTCTTAAAATGTAAAAGAGGTCGTGTAGACCCAAGTCATGTTACAAGGAATCGAGTGGCTTAGATACGGAACAAATGTCTGTCTCTGAGCATTTTCAGAGAAAACCTTAATCCTGAACCTCGCTCTTCTCACTTATGAGAATTGTGTAGGCCTTTACCTTTTTAAAGTCTATTTTTTTTATTTCTATTGCCACTTGTATTCCATATCCTTGTGCGTTTCTTTTTACTTTCTGATCAGTGGGCTACATAATTCAACCAGGTGATTTCTGTTTGAAAACGCTGTCCTCGGCTGAAATTGGCCTGCGCGGTTAAGCGGAGGAGCACAAAGAGCTAGAACGCTTGCTCGTTATAAAAGCGAGCGCGTAATTGGGATAAGCGATTGAAAAGTTGTTCAAAATTTAGTGTGCATTTTCTCTGTCTCAGTGACAATCGAACAGAAATAGATGTCGAGTCTTTGATATCAGCCGTGTTTTAAAACAATGCAATTTGAGACTAAAGAAGGAAAGGCGACCACGACGCAACGTTGTGAAACGTATTTGAATAGATATTTGCGAAGCACTGACAGTTGTGCCAGTTCTTGCTTATCTTTAGTTCAAACTTTTAATAAAATATACTTGAATGTCTCTTGGCTCATTCTCAGATAGGACTGAAAACGTGAAGGGCTCCTTTTAAGTAAACGATTCAAGTGATAATATTCACTTTCCACTCGTCTTCTTTTATTTATCTCATGAATAACCCCCATTCATTATTTTGCGTTTTCCCAGGATAATTTTTGGCAAAATACTGTCTGGCAACAATAGTTCGTCTTCACTCGAATCCGCCATGGCGCCAAATACATGTAATGTATAATAAATATGCCCAAGTTCTGATCAAACGCGATTTGCAATATTTCTATCGCACCTCAATGACACAAGCATGAATAGCGCTTTCTTCACAAGCGCTCGCTTTATCGCGAGCAAACGTTCTCTTTCTGCGTACCTTCAGATAGGCCTAGATTTAATACTATACGTTTGATAACGTATTTAATAAAAAGATCTATTAGGGTGGTGGAGGGGGAAAATAAATAAAGAGGGAGTGGGGGTACCAGTGTGCCGTTGTATGGAAGTATGTAATTGTTGTTGTCCTCATAATTAAAATCGGGTAGGCTGCACACGTTCTAATTCAAGTAAATTTAGACCTAGAACATGTAGATCTTGCTCTGCTGTTGAAATGTGTAGGAGTTGTTGTGAAAGCGAGACTTAAAAACCCAGGCCAAGCGGTAATCATTATGATTAGGCTACATGCATTATGAATATCGAGTTGGTGTCTGGATAGCGATGGACGGAAAATTTTCTTCTCTCAAACTGTCTCCTTTCACCCCCATTTTCCTGCTCTCTAACAATGTTCTGTCGTCTCCTTTCGTCTCCACTTTCTGCTCCCATTAGCCCCCCCCCCCTCCCCCCTCTCATGGCACCTCCAATTGCCTCTTCCTCTGGGCCCTTTTCTGCAACGTTTCTAGCGATCTACTGTTTTATACTCCTTAATTAAATTCCTTAATTTTGGACGGAAGCTATCCAAGATTAAAACCCCTTCATCCGAAGAAGACAACAAGTTAGAATTTACAACAAGACAGTTGTTCACAACACGACGCTCCAAGCCCAACCGGTCAAATCTAGGCCTAGATCAAGTTCAGCGGGACGTCAGAAGTCTACACGCGCTGAAAATGTGTGTCCTTTGTGTTCTACCCTCGGAGAGATAGGCGCTGAGTGAAAATGTCACCGATAGGCCGAAACATATTCGGTGGCCTCTCTGTCCCCGCCTTTTTAGGCAGGACTGATTTAAAAAACAAAAACAAACAACATCCCAGAAAAACGAACTACGTGTATTACAGTGGAACTCGAATTGAATGAGTCGTCGGGCCTGGCCTTCAATTTCGTTGAATCCGAATGTTCGTTGTGGCAAATATGACGTCTTTGTGTAGATATTACAGTCACTGACCAAATAATGTAATGTATTCGACTTCCTCTATCAAAAGTACTTGTAGTTTGATTTCAAATGATGTGAATTTTTCCTTTCTTTGATACACGTACCAAAGAATTCCTGGAGAATTCAGGAAAATACACTGAACTCTACCAAGTGGTGCACCTTGTCAAATGCTAATTATAGAAATTATTGCGTAGCTGGGGTTAAGGTGGAAAAGGGAAGAGGGAAAGGGATGGTAAAGGGAGGGGGCCTGGGGGGGGGGGGGGGGGGCCAGGCCCTTATTCTCTCTCCTTGTTAAAATCCCCTAATATTATAATTCCAAGTGGGCGTCATATATTATAGCCGTTGGCTAAAAAGAGAGACGTCTCTTTCTTCCCGCAACACCCAAAGGGTAAAAGCGACGGATAAAAGTAAAAGTAAGTAAGCTAAAAAGTAACTCGGGGAAGTAATAGGCGAACACCAAACCGAACCATCGATTGTTAAAATTAATTAGGCAGTAAAGATGAGAAATATGCTGACAACAGATGAACAAGCATTAATAAGAGACAGGTCGACTGTTTTCTCATTTATGATTCGTGCTTGGGCTGAGGTGGGCGACACGGGCGGTAATCGCGACCTCTCCAGCTCCCTTGATCACTTGCGGTTGAAAATTTATTAAATTGTTACCTAACAGATTTACTTGGGTACAACACGTTGAATTTTAACGTGAAGAGGGGTGGGGTTGGGACTAGGGAGGGGGGGGGGGAGGAACATTGAGAGTACGTGGGGTGTGTGTGTGTGTGTGTGTGCGTGTGTGTGTGTGTGTGTGTGTGTGTGTGTGTGTGTGTGTGTGTGTGTGTGTGTGTGTGTGTGTGTGTGTGTGTTGTACAAATTTAACAACCATTCCAATTTTTGTTCAGACGGCATGACCAAAGCGGTTGATGTCAAATTCTGCACAACCAGTAAATGAAAAAGATTATTTGGATTGTTTCACTTAGTATATTGTACTTTTTTAAAGGTGTTTTACGTCCCTCGCAACTGCTTATAAGCCTATTAAGGTCATGAGCGCGCGGGACACATTAAAGATATTCAGTTAGTTTAAAGATTTAAAATTTTGCCAGGAGCCTACTCCTATCGATTTTAGACAACCAAGGGATCTTTAACGTGCGCAACTTGCACACCGGACATATCCGAGATTGGCTGAACTATAGGTGTAGATCTTTCCTACCAGAAGATCAGGGGTGTGGCGGAAAGACAGCAGTAAGAATTAGGAGCCAATAGTCGCAGCAGAAAGAGCAGGAGCCCTGAGGAGGGGGCAAAGGAGGGTGAAGGGGGTAGGGTAGAAAGTGGAGACGAAAGCAGGCAACAGAACATGGCTGGAGAGCAAGAAAGAAGGTGAAAGGAGACAACTTTAGAGAAGAACCGGATTCGATCGAATGAGAGGCAAACACCTTAACCTCTTAGGCCACGAGAGCCACTGTACTCTTTTCATAATAATAATAATAATAGTAGTAGCAGCTGGTGAGACAAAAGGGGTTATAAATAGAATATATTCTAAGGTCCATATGAGAGACTTCGATCAAAACATACAGATTTTAGCAAGGACCGTAGAATTATTAATTATAGGCTAACCTCCTTAATAATTTTCATCAGTTCTCAATGTAGCCTATTAGGCTTACCATGGCACCATTCATGATGGACCTGGCAACGCCTGGCAATCCAGTTCCTGGGGACTGGGGGAATGACCAGGGAAGTAACTCTGTTTGTCTATTATTTTCGTCATCTCTGTTTCTCCAGTCAACAGTTTCTGATACTGCTGGCAGGGAATGAATGACGAACCATGGAAGATGGCTTTGAGGAAAAGGCGATTTCAAGACGTGCGGATTAACAGTTTTGATGATGTTGGAGCCAGCGTCGAAGAGATCGTGCTGTCCAACGGTTGTATAAATATATTAGTGCAAGATCCAGTATGTGGCCCTTCTGATTATACAGGTGAGTGATGGGCGAAGAGGCTGAAGACAATCTCAGCTCGTCAAATATTTTATAATTTGGGCAATTTAAATTAAAATCTAAAAATTCACCATTAAATAGATCTAGATCTAGATCTAGATTCTGGCACTTCTTGTGGAAGGACTTCCGTAACGAGCGACCACCCCAACAAACAACACAATACAGAAGTACCAACCAGTACGATTTTACGTGGCTTTTATAGTATGATTTTTTGCAGAAAATACGGCATAATACGCTAATACGAGTTTTCATGATAAAATTTATAATAAGCTTCCTGGAATGCGAAAAATTCGAGATTCAGCTTGGTCGAGTAAACCTAGAGTAATCGTACCGGTTCGGGCAGCACGTTTTTTTATTGCTGTCGGGCACTGGAGTACAAAAAGATCGTTTAAAACTTTGTTTTCAAATCTAGCCCCAAAAGAGTGGCACACAAACCTAAAGCAACCTCCCTTACTTTCGTTGAAACAACAGTTACGGCGATATTTTGCTAAAAATAGTCCTTAACCCTCATCCTGCGGGAGCCGGGTTTATGTAGCCCGATAGGCCTTGCCTTAGATTTCGGCACCTAGCCTGCGTTCTGGTCCCGAGTCAGTGTAGCTCCTGGCTCAGCGCACGCGCCGCGCGCATCCTCTTACATGACATTCGGGTCCTGAGTCGGATCCCCATTCACGCAGGTCAAGTGTGTGTGCGTCAGTCTGCTTGAGTTTGTGTGTGTGCGTTTGTGGCCTTCTTCTAGAACCACCTGCGTTGGTTCGTAATCGAGGCATACACGTCTCATTCAAAACATGCCAAGTTGATAGCTCTAGATGTTCGTCCTATGAAATTATAGAAGAAATTGACCCACTTAGACATGAGGAGCTCGAAAGGATAGTCAGGAAACAAGACTTCCTTTTTTCTACACAATATTTCAAATGAGCTTGATTTTGTATGAAATGATACTGCCTGATAAAAAATGAGCTTGTTTGATAGTTTTGAATACCCTTGTGCAGGTACAAAGAACAATTTGAGTGTAAAACATTCGGAAATTGACATAAATTATCCCTTTTTGAACCTCAGGTCAGTCATAATAACAAGAGCGTCCAGAAAGGTTATTCAAATGGGCGTAACTACTCGTAATGTCTTATCAGCTTGTGAGAGGGGGTTATTCATGTGTTTGTAACACTTTATAAATAGAAAGCTATGAAGGATAGAGCGTTATTTTCATCATCAGTTAACACACTCCCGCGGTATTCATGGCGAAAACACACGTTTCCCGACGCGCGCGCTGTACACCAACAGTACACACTGAGTGACCCCGGCGGCCTGCCCGGCACGTCCGATGTAATCGGTTGCTGATAAGATACGCATCTGGGCACAGACGCAGGATAAGAGTTAAGACAGCTTTTTCTTCATCAACCGAGCAAAACAGCGTGAAGCTCTTTCCCCGGAAGAGTTAACATTGGTTGTGGATGAAGGAGCCTGTGACCTAGATTCTACATTTTGGTAGACTCTGAAGGCTGGAGAGAGTTATTTGCATATATGAGGCCCTGTCAAGGATGAAAGAGAATTTGCCGTTTAGTCTCGCCGTTTTTGCCCAAAGGGGGGGTGCCCGGATTGTAACATAAAATCCATAGTTTCTCATCCTTCGGGCATATGATAAGATAATATAGAGCCAATGGTTATATAACAAAGAATAAAGAATTTGTGCATAATTTATAATAATAGTAGAGTCAGATACAGCATATTAACTCAGTCAGACACCAGTGTAATAGAGTCAGATACCAGTGTGTAATACAGTCGGATATCAGTGTAGCCGAGTCAGATCCAGTGTAGTTGAGTGAGCCAGATGCCAGTGTAGTAGAGTCAGATACCACGTAGTAGAGTGGGTCAGATACATACTCATTAAAATAGCAGCTATATAAATGGTGATACCACTTTAGACAAACTATCATTGTGTCCAAGTGTTGATAACAAACATTAAAAATCATGTTATTAAGCTTGCAAAGAAACAAATGTGATAATAATTGAAAATGACCGAATGTCAAAATACTGCCCGAATCCATGAGAAAACCAAAAAAATGCGACCGAACTCGTAAATAAATCGGGCGTCACTTTTGCATGAGAACAAGCTGAAACAGGTCATTCCTGGGGTCATCCAATCACATGACTTCCTGTAGTTGGTTTCGGTTTGTCTCTAGGGCAAGGCAGATAGGAGATATAAAGCTTTAAAGTCGACATGCCTGTTTTCGTCCTTATTTTGACCGAACCGGTAATATTACTCTAATTATCTCAAGTCCCTTCTTTTGTCAAAATAGTATCAGTATCGCAGAACTGGAATATTTGAAAACCAAGTCCGATGTGGTCAGTGTAAGTTCACTTTTGCCGGTCGTGATCGTGATACTAGACTCTATATTCGTTCAGCTTTTCCCCGTCCGGAGAGTACGTTTCACTTTCACGCGAATAGGCAGCTATAGCGGCAGGCGGAAGCGTATGTGGCAGGTTTCACAATTTTATTCGCACTGAGGTGGTGAGATATTTCAATGCCTTTATGACACCGAGGCTCGATCAGGAAAATCAAGATCTACCTTCGCTTTCGTTTCCACCGAGAAGTTTGCCAGCAGTTGTCTGATAACAAAACATTTGTGGCATGCAGGTTGTGCAGTATAAACGCAATGTCGCCGTGCAAATAAAATGTAAGAAATACTCGGACTCGTCGATGTGCTGTCACTTGTGGGAAAAAAAGGAAAGAAAATACAAGCGTCGTCCGATTTTTAGATTGTCTGACTCGCCATCGTGACCGGTCACTGAACCCGCGCGCATTCGCATCATAAATAAATGCGGCATCGTGTGAGTAAAGACTGTACTGTCTTTGGTGGGAGTAACGGTGTTTCGAAGTATAGGACTACAGAATAGAGGAGGAGATTATTGATTTTTTTTGGGGGGGGTTAAGATACTATCGGGGGGAGGGGGGTGGGGGGTTAAGGCAACATCAGGGGACAAAAAGTTGGAAGCAAATTTCAGAATTTTGATTTGAGCTTTTTGCAAAGCGCGCGTTGGTGCAAGCCGTGTGCGGAATCGGACCCCTTATAATATAGCAAGGCCCACGCAGCGCCGATGAGTGTGACAGAAATCGGGGACTCCCGTATAGGCACTGCGGGCTTGTTTTACCGGACCCGTTTTCTCACGGTGCCATATTTTCATTCACTCGTACGGGCTTGTTTCTCAATGGATGAAAGCGAAACTTGGCAGCCAATGAGAAAAGAGGTCAAACTAGTCACATAATGCGAAAAAGAAAACTCGTAGGTTACTTGGTTATGGTGCTGTTCGTGTCCGAAGTTTGAGCTTTCTGCATACAAAAAAATCGGGGAGGAGAGATCACATTCTTGCGTTATCGATCGATGTTGACGGTTCTCTCGATCCTGTTATTCCCCCGACCTAGATCTACATGGACTCGTCAGTTTCGTGCCAAGGAACAAGAATTATAACACTACATAGTTATAGCAAAGATAGTACATCGTAGGGTGTAGTATCTTTGGTTATAGTAGCTTACATAAATTCATAGAATGACTTTCTTGTTAGCAAGGAACAAAATATAGATTAAATCTAAAGAATTGGTGACTGAGGGGTCTTTTTTTATGTATGATTACTAGTATTTTCTACCAATTTTGTACCGATACGGAGATGGGTAAACTTCTGAAAGAAAAAGCGTTGTGGACACCGAGCTGGAGCCACAACCGTGTTCTTGGGGGGGGGGGGGGGGGGGGGGGCGCATCTGGTGTATTTCAAATGCTAAAGGAGGTTCATGCAATATTTGAAAAATTCAAATGAACCCAACATGGTCAGTACACTTTCTCTTGTCTTCTGTTCCATTTCAGATGTTTGTTTGCTTTCTTTCACTATCTGTTTTTGGTGCCTGTACACAGAGCACACCTGGTATGTTATGTTATACAATAACAATTATACACAAAAATGTTGCAAGAAAAGTTAATGGATATCCCATTTTAGTAACATACCCAGGGTACCTTTTCAACATTTTCGCTCACAGTGATAAAAGAGCCTTTCATACAAAAAAAATAACAGGAGATTTGGAATCTGCAAGAAAAAAATACAAAAGATAGCCAAGTTTCGTAGATATATAAAAAAAAAAAAAAAGAAAGTTGCAGGAGTTTGAATGTTGGCCGCAAGTCCTTGGCCTAAAATTTCTATGAATTTTTTTTACACATTTCCCCTAATATTTTAAAAACTACTGCAGATACATCAAATATCTTTATAGATATATAGGTTCTGCAGGAAAAACTACAATAGGCTGCCAAATTTCATTCATGTATTCCGTTTATTACGGAATTTATGATAAAAAATGCCTCAAAACACCCAAAAATGTGGACCGTGTATTGGGATTTTTTCGTTTTATATATGAAAGTCACCCAAAAAAAAATTTATTTAAAAAATCATAACTTTTAAATTTATGAACGAATTGTCAAAATTCAAAAAGTGTGTTACTCAGCAGAGATAAGGCTATCATAAATGCACATTGTTTTGTTGGCTTTAGAGCAAAAAATAATTTTTCATGGTTCTTGCTATATAATACTTTGCAAGTCTGTGTTATTGAAATAATATAAAGTGTTCGCGTTTCATTGGATGGGTGATAGTAAATTATACACCTACTTGGATGGATGATTGTAAATTATACCTACAGTGTATGTTTTTGCTTTCTGTTCAAGACTGGCAGATTTTCAGTGTCACTGCATCTTGCCCTACCACAGTTGTTACAACTCTTCACGCATGGGTCTACTTGAGCCATTCAAGTTATTTGCTTTTCTCTGAGTTTGAGCAATAATTTGAGTCTGTCAGTTCATATGAATCATGACTCCCAGACTGGTTCTTGATAGTCGAAATTCTTGTTCTAGGCCCTTCCGAACTATCAAAGCAGGATTTATTTTTTATAAATATTAATGAGAGGAAAATATTATAAAAGTATAATAGACTGAAATACTTAAGTCAAA